TTATTATTTTGATTGGTATATTATTTATTCCTTCTACTTAAAATAAGAGTAGTTTATACACCACAGTTACAGTGTTATAATATTCTGTGTTTTTCTGTGTATTTCTATTACCAGTGAGTTTTGTACCTTCAGGGTGATTACTTATTGCTCATTAATATTCTTTTCTTTCTGATTGAAGTGCTCCCTTGAAAGCATTTCTTGTAGGACAGGTCTGATGTTGATGAAATCCCTCAGCTTTTGTTTGGGAAAGTATTTCTCCTTCATGTTTGAGGGATATTTTCATTAGATACACTATTCTAGGGTAAAAGTTTTTTCCTTCAGAACTTTAAATATGTCTTGCTACTCTCTTCTGGCCTCTAAGGTTTCCACTGAGAAGTCTGTGACCAGAAATATTGGAGCTCCACTGTATGTTATTTGTTTGTTTTCTTTCTTTCTTTTTTTATTAAAAAAATAATTGATTTTCCCAGCCCCAGCCCCGGCAGTTCATGGGCTGAGGAAGCCTGGCCTGATTTGTTTGTTTTCTCTTTCTGCTTTTAGGATCCTTTATCCTTGATTTTTGGGAGTTTGATTATTAAATCCCTTGAGGTAGTCTTCTTTGGGTTAAATCTGCTTGGTGGTCTACAACCTTCTTTTACTTGGATATTGATACCTTTCTCTAGGTTTGGGAAGTTGTCTGTTATTATCCCTTTGAATAAACTTTCTACCCCATCTCTTTCTCTACCTCCTCTTTAAGGCCAATAACTCAGATTTGCCCTTTTGAGACTATTTTCTAGATCCTGTGGGCATGCTTCCTTTTTTCTTTTTCTTTTTGCTCCTTTGGCTGTTTATTTTCAAATAGCCTGTCTTCAGGCTCACTAATTCTCTCTTCTGATTGATCAATTCTGTTATTGAAAGACTCTGATGCATTCTTCAGTATGCCTATTGCATTTTTAGCTCCAGAATTTCTGCTTGATTCTTTTTAATTATTTCAATCTCTTTGTTAAATTTATCTGATAGAATTCTTAATTCCTTCTCTGTGTTATCTTGAGTTTCCTTGAATTTCCTCCAAGACAGTTATTTTGAGTTCTCTGTCTGAAAGGTCAGATATCTGTTTCTCCAGGATTAGTCCCTGGTACCTTATTTAGTGCATTTGATGAGGTCATGTTTTCTTGGATTGTCTTGATACTTGTAGATGTTTGTCTGTGTCTGGGCATTGAAGAGTTAGGTATTTATTGTAGTCTTCACAGTCTGGGCTTGTTTGTACCTATCCTTCTTGGGAAGGCTTTCCAGATATTTGTAAGGACTTAGGTGTTGTAATCTAAGCGGTATCTGCTTTAGGGGGCACCCCAAGCCCAGTAATGCTGTGGTTCTTGAAGATTCATAGAGATACTGCCTTGATGGTCTTAGGCAAGATCCAGGATAATCTGGATTGCCAGCCAGAGACTCTTGTTCTCTTCCCTTAATTTCTCTCAGACATACAGAGTCTATATCTCTGTTCTGAGCCACCACTGGGGGTGCAGTGACATAAACACCCCTGTGGCCACCACCACTATGACTGCACTGGGTCAGACCTGAAGCCAGCACAGTTCTGGGTCTTGCCCAATGTCTGCTGTAACCACTCACTGACTACCACCTATATTTGCTCAAGGCCTTGGGGCTCTACAATCAGCAGGTGGCAAGGCCAGCCAGGCTTGTGTCCTTCCCTTCAGGGTGGTGAGTTTCCCCGGGCCCTGAGTGGGTCCAGAGGAGCCAGCCAGGGACTAGATTCAAAAACCTTAGAAGTCTACCTGATGTTCTCTTGTACTGTGGCTGAGCTGGCACTCAGATCACTAGATGCAGACCTTCTCACTCTTCCTTTCCCTTTCCAAAGGCAGAGAAGCCTTACCCTGTGGCCACCGCCACCATGGGCCCATGGGGAGTACTGCCAGACTACTGCCAAAGTTCCCTTAAGGCCCAAGGGCTCTTCAATCAGCTTGTGGTGAATGCTGTCTGGCCCAGGACTCATTCTTCAGGAAATTGGGCTCCCCTCTGGCCCAGGGCAGGTCCAGAAATGCTGTCCAAGGCTAAGTCCTGGAATCGGGAACTCTAGCCCACTTGATACTCTACTCACCTGTGGCCGAGCTGGTACCTAAGGTGTAAGAGAAAATCCCATTTACTCTTCCCTCTGCTTTTCTCAAGTGGAAGGAGTCTTGCCCCATAACCACCACAGCTGGGAATGTGCTTAGTCTCACTTGAAGCCAGCAAGTCTCAGACTCTCACCCAAAGCCCTCGATGTAGTGCCTGGGTATTGTTGTTGGTTATTCAGGGCCCAAGGGCTCTTCTGTTTGCAGGTGATGAATGCTGCCAGAACTGAGTCCTTCCTTTCAAGGCAGCAGGTTCCCTTCTGGCCCAGGGTGTGTCTAGTATTATCATCCAGAAGTTAGGGCCTGGAAAGTGGGCCCCAGAACTCTGACCAGTGCCCTATCTTGCTGTGGCTGAGCTGGTATCTAAGATATAAGACAAAGACCTCCACACTTTCCCCTCTCCTCTCCTCAAGTGGAGGGAAGGAGAGTTTCTCACAACTGTGAGCTATGCAGCCTGGGGTGAAGGGGGAGGGGTGATGCCCTTAGCCACCCCAGCTGGTTTCAAAGTAGGTCATGTCCCCACCACCCTCTCACCCAGTTCACTGTCTCGGGGCCAATTCAGCACTAGGACTCCACCTAGGTTTTGCAGTCCTTGTGTCCTAGACTGCCTTTCAAGTTTCTTTGGGGCCCCAGAACACTTTAGCCCATGGTGGTAAGGCTTACAGGAACTCAAGTTCCAGTGCTGGGATCTATCATTTCCCTCTGGCTAGAGCTGGTTTAAATGCTCCCTCTATTGGCAGGTGTCAGCTGTGTTTGGTCCAGTTATCCCTTCTGATTTTTAGTTCTTATGAATGTGCTTTTTTGTGTGTAGATAGTTGTTAAGTTGGTGTCCTTGCTGCGGGGGGATGATTGGTGGAGCCTTCTATTCCACCATCCACCGTGCCTAGACACCATCTTTGGAAAAAAAAAAAAATCCTTCTCAAGGTACAAATATTGCCACAGTTGTGACAGTTGGATTTGATTAAATTATTCACTTGGTCAACATTTGTTGAGCAGTGAGCTGGGCCTACAAAACTGAATAATGATGCCAACTTGCCACTGCATTCTGTCAGGATGTAGTAGGGGAAAAGATATTTTAATCCATAATGACTACACAATGCAGTAGATTCATGACAGAGATCAGCATGTGTTTGTAAGGCTTTGGTTTCATTAGAGTCACTGAAGAAGCACCTCTGTTCTGGGCAATTAAGGACATGTCTTTCCCTTCAGTTTTTTTTCTTTGATTTTTTGTTTTGTTTTGTTTTTAACGGAAGGAAAAAGCTCATGAGGCAGTAGATTCACTGATTCCTGGGGAGGGATGCAGGTCCTACCACTTACTGGCTACCTCTATAGCAAACTCTTCAGTCTCTCTTTCCTCATGTACAAGATGGAAGTTTTATTGGGAAGCTGGGAGGATTAAATTAAGGCAATGAATGTAAAGTATTGCTTTAACACAGTGCCTGGAACAGAATGAATGTTTTTTATTTATTTGAGACAGGGTCTTGCTCTGTCGCCCAGGCTAGAGTACAGTGGTGGTATCATAGCTCACTGCAACCTCAAACTCCTGGGCTCAGCAATCCTCCTGGCTTAGCCTCCTGAGTAGCTGGGATTATAGGTGCACACCACTATGCCTGGCTAATTTTTTTTTTTTTTTTTTTTTTTGTAGAGACAGGGCCTTACTATGTTGCTCAGGCTGATCTTGAATTCCTGGCCGAAAGTGATCCTTTCAAAAAGCTTGGCCTCCCAAAGTGTGGGGATTACAGGCATGAACCACCGAGCCTGGCCTAATGTTAACATTATATTTTCTTTGTGCTCTCTTCTCAGAGAAGTAATTGCCACCTCCAGAATTCTATTACCTGTACAGAAGTTCCTTCTGATATTCAGTCAACAAGTTATTAATGTGAATAATTTTTTTAAATGAAAACTAGAGGAAAAAATATTTATTTTTAGTTATTTTTTTTTTTTTTTAGACAGAGTCTCACTTTGTCACCCAGGCTGGAGTACAGTGGTGTGATCTTGGCTCACTGTAGCCTCAACGTCCCAGTTTCAAGCAGTTCACCTGCTTCAAGCCTCCTGAGTAGCTGGAACTACAGGCGCATGCTACTACTCCTGGGTAATTTTTGTATTTTTAGTAGAGACGGGGTTTAACTATGCTGACCAGACTGTTCTCAAACTCCTGACCTCAGGTGATCCACCCTCCTCGACCTCCCAAAGTGTTGGGATTACAGGCCACCACGCCTGGCCAAAAATATTTTAATTTCATACATATAGTCAGCACTGTGGTAGATGCCTCTATACTATTATAGAATTAATGTAAACACAGTTTCCTAACTCTAGGTGATGTTCATCAGCCATGAGTTATCTGAGGGGTATGAAGTTCATCCCAGGGAAATTAGTAAAACAGAAAAGCTATGAAAGTTGGCCTCACTTTGGGAGGCTGAGGCAGGTAGATCAGGAGTTTGAGATCAGCCTGGCCAACGTGGGGAAGCCCTGTCTCTACTAAAAATACAAAAATAAGCCAGGTGTGATGGCACACACCTGTAATCCCAGCTACTCAGGAGGCTATGGCAGGAGAATCGCTTGAACCCAGGCGGCGGAGGTTGCAGTGAGCTGAGATCACACCACTGCGCTCCAGCGCTCTGGAGTGACAGAGCGAGACTCCATCTCAAAAAAAAAAAAAAAGCTGGCCTTGAAGATAGAAAGTATTTTAGGTACAAAGGGAAGATGGCTGTAGGAAGCATCTAGAAATATTGGGAAATAATAAATCAAATATACATATATCATATTAAACATCTGCCAGATTTGGAAAGCAGGTGACCTCAATGCTGACCTCTTAACCAACAAGCAATCAGGGTTTTCTACTTTGATACAGTCCCTCCTGCAGTGTCCCAGAATAAAGTGGACTCAATAACTAAACCATGTGGAACCTGAAGAGATGTCTAATATGAATAGGGTTTTATTTGTTTTTGGATTTAAAAACTCTTCCTTTGATGAATGCACATTTATAGATCAAGTTAGAACAACTAATCCTATAACAACTGTCCTCACATAATAGGTAGTTGTTACTTAAAATGAAAATCCCAGAGACAGTAATAAATTCAGGCACATATGATTCTGTATGTCAAACAAATAGAAGACAGCATGTCCTGAAAAAGTTTCTGGTAACTAAAACAATTGGCCCAAAAAGACAAGGACATTGATGTCCAAAGATGCATATTAATGGTTCCAATGAAATGTGAAAAAGCAAAAGGTACCAAAATATTTGACATATTAAATTAATGTAAATTTAATTACTAAAATGAATAATAAAAGTGAAAGAATCCTTCCTTCCACATTAGTATATCTGAGTCAAAGCCACTAAAGCTGTCTATTTCTACTTCACCAAACCTCTCATTTCCACTCAGTGCTTGAGAAGTTTGATATACTTGGCTTCATCTACCTATTTCAAACCTTAAGAATCTGATGCTTCCTCCTCCTTTTCTTCTTCTTCTTCCTTCTCCTCTTCTTCTTCTTCTTCTTCTTCCTTCTCCTCTTCTTTTTCTTCTTTTTCTTCTGGGGCCACTTCTGCTGCCTCTGGCTTTATTTCTGGGCCTGGTGGTGGAGGCACTGCTGGAGGAGCTTCTGCTGGGGCAGCCTCTGGTGATTTTTTAAGCAAGCAGATCAAGCAAGTAATTACACTTAATGATAGTATTATAAAAAGTAGAATGAATGATAATATCATCATGTCTACGGCACGTTCTTCATGTTTGGAAGTAGATATCTTTTGATTTTGACCTCCTGAAGGTGTCCCACCTGGCTTACCAGGAGGGCCACTGTCCACACTACCTCCACGTCCTGCAGTAACACAGTCGGGGGGGCATGCCCTTCATTACAGTGGCAGTGCCCTAAATCGTTACAAACTCCGTTCCCATTACACGTTTTTTCTGGGTTGCAGGCAGACATCACTGGGGTTTTATCTGTGCAGGCGGAATTTAGGCAGACTTTATTTGGTGCACAGTAAGTGCCATTGTGCACGTCTCCTTCATCAGGAATGTCAGTACTTGTATAGGCATCCATGCTCCAACATGAGTCATCTCCCCGAGGGACCTGAATCATTGTATGTTGGAGACTGATTTTTGGTAAGCCTGTAAACCCAGAACATATAAGTTTCCCACAAAATGTATTACTATCTGAACACCGAACATATTGTGACCCAGGACTGGTAGGAATGCCACAGTTTCCAAATCGGTCCCCTTTGCTGTTCATTGAATTGTAACACTCTTGTGAGGCTGATTTTGTACCATATCCAAATACTTGTTTGCACTGATTGTTAGGGTCCATACAATTACCTTTAATGCACTGGTAAATTTTATGACATTTTGAGCCATCTTGCTTATGCCTGTTGTCGGGGCATACTGCAGATGTACCATTGCAAAATTCTGGGAGGTCGCAGGAATCACTAGAAGGACGGCAAGAATATCCCTTAGGTTGAAATTTACAGTTATGACAACATGGACCATCACTGCACTCTGCTTTCACCTTCAGTATATAGTTTTCATCACAACATGGGTGACGCTGACATAGAGAACCACAGTCACACTGCTCCGTGTCCTCCACCACGCCATTTCCACAGGCAGAATCCCTACGCTTGCGGCCCCTGGGCCATGGCTTGTTAAATAGGCAGGCCCCTTTGTGTTCTCGAAGGAACTGGTGGAAGTAGTCAGAGCTGCAGTTGCTGAAGCCACTTTCTTTTGTGATATTTTCATGCATGAGGCAAAAGTGCTTCTCTCTGCAAAAGCAGGCCGAGTGGTCGTGCTGAATACCCAGGTTATGCCCGAGCTCATGGACCATCAGGGCTGCAAACAACAGCACATCTTCATGATGGAAGGATTCAACAGCTGCCGCAAAACCGCTTGAGCAGGCACCACTGAGAAAGGCCTGGCCCGTATTCTGTCCAGGATGATGCCCGACGATCATGTGGGCAACATCGTGCTTCGCACGACGGAAGAGCATCTCTTGTCTCCAGCGATTGAAATTCCTGAGTGTGATTTGCAAGTCCACTGCGACATCTATTAGGTCCCCCTCGGTCCAAATCTCCATTCCGGCCAGCACCACCTCTGTGTTTATTCCCCTAGTGAAGCTGTCGGCCAGAGCAATGACATCCACTACTCTCTGGACCGTCTCATTGATGTTACTGCCCCACATCTGGAACCGCTGGTTGTTGACCACGACAAACATCTCCACGTACTTGGTGTGTGACCACAAGTAGGACAGCGCCTGTAGATCATGAGGCTTCCTGCCCCCTTGTTGCCAGCTAGTGGACACCACATGGCTGTCTCTGGAAGTGACACCACAGGAGACTCGCGCTTCATGTGCCATGGTGTATAACACATGTTCAAACCGTCTTGAAGAGTCCATGGGCTCAATGCTGTAAGATTTTTCCTCCTTAATCAGGATGCCCCTGAGACCTGCACAGGTGTTGACAGAAACGAAAGAACCTGACACTCCTTCTGTGTAGCCTTCATAGTGGCAGTCATGTGAGATGAAAGGCGATTCTTGCCCCAGGATGCCATTGTGGTAACTGTAGACTGGAAAGTTATTCACAAAATGGCTTCTCTTCACCTTCAGGTGAACCAAGTGCTTCTGGCCTTGCATAAGTAGCAAATAGGTTGCCTTTTCCACTGAGTCTTCACTTTCCCTGACCATCAGCCGCTTTGGGATGACTATTTCATAGGAAGAGTAATATGCCGAAGCCATGTCACAGCATATGCTCGGGAGAAAAATTATCCCCAAAAGCAACATCATCCCCAGCCTGACACACGATTGACCTGGCACTAACCCCAGCCTCAAATTTTTCATCTGGGGAGCCCAGGTCTGAAGCACCCTCTTAGCCTCATACAACACCACATGGAGTTTCATCAGAGAAGACAGGAAGGAGGCAGAGTCTCTCACAGAGGCTGTCACTGACATGGCCCTAGGGAATCAGTTGATGATGCAACTTGTGTCCATGAGCAGCAGCTCTCCCTGACACGCAGACCGTCAGACACAGGTACTAGCCCCAGATCTATGCCGGCTGCATGAAGCTACTTTCACCTCTGAAAGACCCAGCTTTCTGGCTGAGTCTCTGCCTAGTCTTCCGGGTCTATCTCATATCTTTCAGAAATTTTCCATACTTGATGACTTTCTCTTTCAGTTTCAGCTTCAGTGCCCCTGGTTAAGGTCCTATCGACATCATGAAGGACATTCTATAATGCAGGACTGTACTGTGCGAGAGGAAACAAAATCTTCGTGCCTTTCTTCGACTGGGCCATATGGAACAACCCCTCCCCCACCCCTCCTGTTGTCCGTTCCTCAGCTAACTCCACATGTTCCAGACCAGGGGGCTTGGAGATCTCTCTGGTGGGCATACGCCACTGTCCATTTCCTCTCTTCTAAAACTCATACTCTGAGCACACAAACATCTTTACCTATGGTGCTCTTTTCTTCTCAGTGAGGCATTATAGATATGTGTGTCTGCATTTCAGTGGCCAAGTGAGGTGGCTACCCTGTGCCCCAGCATAAACCCCAGTGGGCTGGTGACCCATGGACAAGGCACAGTAGTCTTTTATTTATTTATTTATTTATGAGACAGTTTTGTCCTTGTTGCCCAGGCTGGAGTGCAATGGCCCAGTCTCGGCCCACTGCAACCTCTGCCTCCCAGGTTTGAGCAATTCTCCTGTCTCAGCCTTCCAAGTAGCTGGGATTACAGGAACCTGCCACCGCGCCCGGCTAATTTTTGTATTTTTAGTAGAGACGAGGTTTCACCACATTGGTCAGGCTGGTCTCGAACTCCTGACCTCAGGCAATCTGCCTACCTCGGCATCCCAAAGTGCTGGGATTACAGGCATGAGCCACCGCACCCGGCCAGTCCTATTTTTTAACATCATCGAAGTTGAGTTTTTACTATCCAAAAGAGTATATGGGAGATGCCAACAGAGCAGCTTTCTATTATATGTGATTATCATAGACCATTGGCTGGTACCTCCAGAACTACACTCTCCTGGCGATAGTGTCACATAGGGAGGTGCTAAGATTATTCTTATGTCTTTTGAAAGGAAGGTGTCCAAAAAGTCTCCCCTATGTTAGAATATAATCTCTACACTTTCAGTGACCACCTCTATTTGTTCATCCTGATACCATCAGGCATACAAGAGGCCTTGTCCAAGAGTAGATGAACACAAATTCTTTTTGAATGAATAAAGGACACTTGGGTATGAGTGGTACAGTGTGTCATCTGTTGTGTGTTATTTGTACTTGTTGCATGCCTACCCCCGTGGCTAAAAATGTCTTCAGGAAATCCTACACAGTGACTGACCTGTACTGACTATTGGCACATTCCTGATCTCCAAATTTACTCCCTACCACATTTTGCTAGTCAGCTCACTCTCCTGATTTATTTTGCCTCATATTTCACTGAAAAAAAAAAAAAAAAAAAAAAAAGACAGAAGCAAATGTAGCCCCAGATGAATCCACCTGTATCTAAATTTTACTCCTGTTAGGATGGATGAATCATCCATGGTCTGGTCTAAGATCAATTCTTTCACTTGTGTATTAGGTCTCCTTTCATTTCACTTTCTTATGAACTTCACTTGTATGGTGGGCCCTTCTCTCTTCTAATCTTAAAAATGTGTTTATCCATTGGATCAACCTCTTTATATGGTGCATTTTCTCACCTTAATGAAACCATTCCATTCAGTTCATATCATTCTCCAGTAACCATCCAAATCTTGCCTATGCTTTATACCGAATGGCTTTGAGAAAGAGAACATAGTTGCGCTCTCCATTGTTCATCACCTAGTGTTTGATTTTAACATTTTAAATTCTGGAATACAGTGCATTCACTAAAAGGTGCATTTTTTTTTTTTTTTTTCCAGACTGAGTTTCCCCCTTGTCACCCAGGCTGGAGTGCAGTGGTGTGATCTCGGCTCACTGCAAATTCCACCTCCCACTGTCCATTTCAAGGTTCTCCCAGGTTCAAGTGATTTTCCCACTGTCCATTTCAAGGTCTCCCAGGTTCAAGTGATTCTCCTGCCTCAGCCTCCCAAGTAGTTGGGATTATAGGCACCTGCTACCACACCCAGCTAATTTTTGTATTTTTAGTAGAGACGGGGTTTCTACTAAACCAGGCGAGGCTGGTCTCGAACTCCTGACCTCAGGTGATCCACCCACCTCAACCTCCCAAAGTGCTGGGATTGCAGGCATGAGTCACAGCGCCCAGCAAAAAGTGCATTTTTGACATAGATGTAGATTTGGGGGAATTATGAAAAATAGAAAAGCTGTGTAAGCATAAATTTGTTAAAGCAATCAACAATTTAAACTCCACAGAATAAACATAGGCACCCCTTTATAATTACGAATCCCTCCTCTTGCGTATGTACCCAGGATGCCCTCTTATTATTATTATTATTTTTTTTTTTTGAGAGACAGGGTCTTGCCCTGTCACCCAGGCTGAAGTGCAGTGGTGTGATCATGGTTTGCTGTACCCCTGAACTCCTGAGCTCAAGCAGTCCTCCTGCCTCAGTCTCCCAAGCACCAGGGAAGACAAGTACATGCCAAAACACCTGGCTAACATTTATTTTTGAACTTGTGGTAGATTAACAGCTTCCTCGCTTTTTTTGTACTTTTGCCTTCTAAATGTGCAACCTGTAGCATGTAGCTTCATTTCACCTGTGTTTAGACTTCATATGAATACATAAAAGTACAACTTTTTTTTTTTTTTTTTTTTTTTTGCATTTTAAGACCCCAAAACAGTCTTTATTTATTTATTTTTTTTAAATTTATTATTATTAAACTTCAAGTTGAAGGGTACATGTGCACAACGTGCAGGTTTCCTACATATGTATACTTGTGCCATGTTGGTGTGCTGCACCCATCAACTCGTCATTTACATCAGGTATAACTCCCAATGCAATCCCTCCCCCCTCCCCCCTCCCCATGATAGGCCCCGGTGTGTGATGTTCCCCTTCCCGAGTCCAAGTGATCTCATTGTTCAGTTCCCAACTAAGATCAGAGCAGAACTGAAGGAAAAGTACAACTTTTTAACGGGGCTTCTTTTATTCCATAGTTCACTTAAGTTGCCTCCAAGTTATTGTATGAACCCAAAGTTCATTCCTCTCCATAGCACAACACTGGTATTTCTCTGTGTGAATCCCTTAAGATTAATGATCCTTTATCTGTTATCCTTTGCTTTCTATACCCATAAACACTGCTGCTGTATTATTGTCTATGTAACATGATGCAAATGCATATGACCTTCTACGGTATAAACCTAGAAGCAGGGCTGGGCGTGGTGGCTCACACCTGTAATCCCAGCACTTCGGGAGGCTGAGGTGGGCAGATTACAAGGTCAGGAGATCGAGACCATCCCGGCTAACATGGTGAAACCCCGTCTCTACTAAAAATACAAAAAATTAGCCGGGCATGGTGGCGCACGCCTGTAGTCCCAGCTACCCGGGAGGCTGAGACAGGAGAATGGCACGAATCCGGGAGGCAGAGCTTGCAGTGAGCTGAGATCGTACCACAGCACTCCAGCCTGGGTGACAGAGCGAGACTCCATCTCAAAAAAATAAAAAATAAAAATAAATAAAAAATAAACCTAGAAGTAGATGCTAGGTCATAGGATAAGCAAAATTTCATTAAACTAGAACATAACAAACTGTATTGCAAAACTGTGTGCCAGTTTGCATGCCCAAAGCAGTTTGGGAATCTCTAATGCTGCACATTCTCAATAATAATTGGTGTTGTGACTCTTTTAAATTTTACCAAGCCTGTGATATGCAATGATATTCTTTTGTAGGTATGCTTTGCATTTCTGTGAATACTAATTAGGATAAAGACCTGAAGACCTTTATAAATGTTTATTGACCCATCCTTTTTTTTTTTTGAGACAGAGTCTTGTTCTGTTGCCCCGGCTGGAGTGCAGTGGCACAATCTCGGCTCACTGCAACCTCTGTCTCCCAGGTTCCAGCGAGTCTCCTGCCTCAGCCTCCCAAGTAGCTGGGATCACAGGCATGCGCCACCATGCCTGGCGAATTTTTTTGTATTTTTAGTAGAGACGGGGTTTCACCAAGTTGGCCAGGCTGATCTTGAACTCCTGACCTCAAGTGATCTGCCTGCCTTAGTCTCCCAAAGTGCTGGGATTACAGGCGTGCTCCACTGCTCCCGGCCCATCCTTTCTGTTTTGATTCTAGTAGAAAAAGGCTTGCATCCCTCAGCCCCCATCCAGCTAACTGCTCTACTACAGGTTACCAGTGAATAACTCCATTGTCAAATCACATAATCAACCCTCAATCCTGTCTTTATGCAAACATCAATACCATTTGCTGAGGCAGGAGGATGGCTTGAGCCCAGGAACTTGAGACCAACGGGGGCAACATAGCGGGACTCCATTTAAAACAAAGTTGGCCGGGCATGGTGGCTCACGCCTGTAATCCCAGCACTTTGGGAGGCCGAGGCGGGCAGATCATCTGAGGTCAGGAGTTCGAGACCAAGTTAACCAAACTTTGCTCCTCACCCACAGATTTGCTCTGTAGTAGTGGAGACAGAATATGTTTGCAATGACCATGTAGTAGATGGCAATGCCGTATCAGAGAAATTCAGTATTATAAGTTGATGGTGATTAAATCTGATCATTGCTGAATGATACGCAATTAATAATACAATCTATATCCATCACAGCGTTTGATTTGAGAGGCCATCAGCATTTATTTGAGCACCAGCTGTATGCCAGGCACTGCACTAGATCACCTCACACACATTATCCACTTTAACCTCACAAATACTCTATGAGAGGCATCCTTTGTGTGGCATCTTACTGAGGAGGAAACCCAGATCTCAGGAAGTTCAGTTCCGTGTCTTAAGACACAGTGAGAACGTGAGACCTGCTACTTAGGAATGTGGAACATGGAAGTCCTCTCATTCAGAACAAAGATGAATTTCCCCCTTTTAAAAAGATTCGTTTTTGCTCTAAGATATATCTTCCTGGTTGGATTTATTAGGCTAGCAAAACACAAGATGCAGAGCTGACATAGTTCTCATGTTCTTAGCATCCAAGGCAAGAAGAGAGCTCCTGGAGGG